ATATATATATATATATATATACATATAATATGTGCATATACACATATGTATTTTATTTATTTCTATTACATAAATAATACATAAATACATTGTTTTTGTCAAAGGCACAATCAATAGAATCCACCCATTTCTCCCCCTCTAATCCTACTTCCCACCATTCATGGTTAGGGGTGAAACCTTCCAGTCTTTTATGTAAACATTTAAATCACTTAAGCCCAGTGTAGTTCAATATAGTGTATGATGCAGAGCTTCTATAACGGTTATAAGCACCCCTCTATGGATGGACATCCAGATGGTTCCAGTTTTTCCTTTTCACAAACAGTGCATATCTGTTAACAGGCCCAGCTTTGCAGAAATGACTGTTTCCTTGGACAGTTACCTAGCAATGAAATGTCTGGGTCTAAAGACACATACATTGAAAGTTTTGATAGGTGTCACCAAATCACCTTCCGAAGTGACTTATCCACTTTACACTGCCAACTGCGATTGAGAGCCCTGACTTCTGTATCTCCTTAGCATCATTAAATATCATCATTCTTCATAAATTTTACTAGACTAATGGGCAAAGACGTTCTCTCAGTTGCTGTGTGCTTTTCCCCCTGATGAGAATGGTGCAGTTTGCACTGGTGGTGCAGCCCAACCTAATTTTGTGTGATTTTTGGTTATTTAAATTTCCATGTCTGAATTTTTTTTCAGACAAGTGATCCTTTCAAAACAAGTTAGATCCCATCATTTTTCTATTCACAATGGGTCTCAACCATTGGGGGGGGGCCATTTTTACCCCCAGGGGACATTTTTGGCTCCCCTGACTGCTGCTATCGAGTGGGTGGACCCTAGGGATGCTGCTAAACAACCCACAATGTGCAGGATGGCCCCACAGCAAAGATTTAGGTGACCCAGAGTGGCAGGAATGGCGCAGTTGAGACGCCTTATTCTAGCCTTGCTCCCAAATCCTACTGTGTGTGGACAATGAGGGCCCACAGGAGCAGGTGTTCTGCTAACTTGGGGCGTTAGCCCCCTCCCCATCCACCTCACTTGCCCTGTTCCAGCCACGTTGGCCCCTCGGTGTTCCTCAGGCATGCCGGACATCAAACCTGCCAGACAAACTCCTGACATAGTGTCTGGAGTCAGCAGAATAATGGCACCCCAAGATACCCACACCCTGATCCCCAGAAGCATGACTGTGTTGCCTTCCATGGCAGAAGGCACTTTGCGGATGGGATTAAGTTAAGGATCTTGAGATGGGGAAATGATCCTGGGTTATGTAGAGGGGCTCAATGTCATCTGAAATCACTCCACCCCTCAAAGTTGAGCTTCCTTACCCTCTGCACAACCTCCTGGGCTTTGCCACTTCTAAACCGGGGAGAAGTTTATGGATTTATGTACTTCAGAGAAGTCTTGCCTTGTGTATCTAGATTTGAGATTTTTTCTAGAATTGGGAAATCATCAAAATGCAGTGTTCTGGACAATGAGGGGTTTCATATGTATTCGGATTTAAAGGAAGTTTGTGGAAGTAGAACTCCGAATTCCAAGTGGTGGTGTGATTTGGAGAGAATTCTCTACCACAACAACCATGATGATTAGTTTGAGTTCTCACCTCTGGGTCATGTGACATGCACCAAACAACTGCTCCTTCTTTCCCGTCAGGACCATCACTGTGGATTCCCAAGGCAGACATTATGATAGGAATATTTTCACGTTATTGGTGAACAATTTTAGAATTTTTCAAAGCCAATTTGGAAGAGTAAGTCTTCTTGAAGCAATCCCGATGACGCAGATGACTTCTTATTTTTAACCTAAGAGCACTTGTTCCAGAACTGTGCACAAACTGTAGCTGTTTCCATAGAAACACTCGCAGTCCAGATAGGAACAAAACATTCGGCCCATCCAGTTTCTCTGTGTCTTAGAGTTTGTTGCCAGGATGGGTCCTGCTGTTCATCCGTTGTCAGGAATCAGTGTAGTGTTAGGATTCCAGTGGAATTTGATCAGTTGCTTAGATTTTTTTTCATTTCTTAAGTGACCGTGTATCTGGGTTTTGTGGGTGGGGCATGCATGGCTATGCGAAACAAAGGCAGACATCCCGGCTGTTGTAGCCCCATCTTCCCTGTTAAGGCCAAGAGAAAGCAGCCTATAGATGGTCTGCTTTTTATGTCAAGAAGTCGCTCTCTGGAGACCGCCTGTAGATGGTCTGCTTTTTATGTCAAGAAGTCGCTCTCTGGAGACCTGTACATTTAAAAGGGAAAAGCTGTGAGGGCAGGGAGGGATCTTGGGAGTA